CAAAAATAACAATGATGTTGTATGGGGCTCATAACATGTAAAAGTAAAGCGGTTAGAAAGGGAGAAATGGAAGTAAATTATTGAAAGGTTTTTATACATGAAGTGGTATAATATTACTTGAAAATACACTATGATAAAAGGATGTATGCTATAAACCCTACAGCAGTCACTAAAATAAACAGTTACTATCAATAAGCCAACAAAAGAGATAAAATGGAATTGTAAAAAATTTCAATTAATCAAAAAGAAGGAAGAAAAGAAGAGAGAACAAAGAACAAATGGGACAAATGGAAGACAAATAGCAAGATGACATTTAAATTTAACCTCGAAATTTTGAAAACCTGGCAGGGCCTGGTGGCTCATGCTTGTAATCCCAGCACTTTGCAAGGCCAAGGCAGGTGGATCACGAAGTCAAGAGATCAAGATCATCTGACCAACATAGTGAAAACCCATCTCTATTAAAAATACAAAAATTAGCTAGGCATGGTGGCGTGTGCCTGTAGTCCCAGCTACTCGGGAGGCTGAGGCAGAATTGCTTGAACCCGGGAGGCAGAGCTTGCACTGAGCCCAGATTGCACCACAGCACTCCAGCCTGGCAACAGAGCAAGACTCCATCTCAAAAAAAAAAAAAAAAATTTTTTTTGAAAAATGTAAATAGTTATTTTAGGGTACCAGTTTCATGACTGACTTTATTCTTCCTCAAATTTGCTGTTCAATAATAAAAGATAAAGTTCTAAGTCACCATGTTTTATATAAAATAGATTACATATGAGTGGTCAGTGCCTGTAGTCCCAGCTACCTGGGAGGCTGAGGCAGGAGGATCATTCAAGCCCAGGTGTTACAGACCAGCCTCAGCAACCTAGCGAGACCACATCTCAAAGCAGAAGAAGAAAAAAGAGTGGTCAGAGGTATATGTGTATCTTAAATTAAAAGAAAAAATAAAACCAGACTATATGCAGTGGCTCACGCCTATAATACAAGCACTTTGGGTGGCCAAGGCAGCAGAATCACTTGATCCCAGGAATTCAAGGCTGCAGTGATATGATCATACCACTGCACTCCAGCCTGGGAAACAGAGTGAGACGACCTCAAAATAAATGAACGAATCAATATCCACATACTAACACAGCTTACAAAGATTACTAATATTTTGAAGACACCAATACCCCATCTCCTACTCTCCTCCCCAAGCAACCACTATCCTGAATTCTGAATTAATCATTCCTCTGCTCTTATTTATGGTTTTACCAGATATGCATGAAATCCTGAATGGTATTTGTTGCTAATTTTTAATTTTTATAAAAATTAAATCATACTGTATATATTCTTATATGGTTTGCTTTTTTCAATCAACATTGTATTTTTGATGCTCATCCATGTTGGTGTGTAGCTATGTTCTATTCATTTTCAATAGATTTTTACATTTTCCTATTGATGGCCACATGGGTAATTTCTAGAGCTGTGCTCTTAGAAACAGCGCTTATGAATGTCTTGTACCTCTCTTGATTTAAGTGGGTATGTAAAGGAATGGAATTGCTACATTATGTTTCCAGATATAATGATCACTCTGTGTTATTAGCCTTATTTTATTAATAAATGAAGGCTTATAGAGACCAGGAAACTTGTTCAAGGTCACACAGCTAGGTAGTAAAGTTAAGACCAATAAATTCTGCTCCTTCCACTTGAAAAAAACTCAAGGTTAGGTAGCTCATACTTCTGGAAACATGTAACTATCAAACAGAATCCTGATGTTTTATCTTGTTTTACCTAAAGTTAAAAGAGGAGGTCCTAGGAAATTATTCCACTCAATTCTACCACTTGACCACTTGAAGCAACTTGACTACATAATGATCATGATTAAAACTTTTATTCTATTAAAATATCCTGTATTTCACCATTCCTGAAAATTCTAGTCAAATGTTATAGTTTAAAACGTGTACAAATTGTGTATGTATAAAATTATAAGACATAGTAATAAAGTGGTTCTCATTGTGACTACAGTTTTACATTAAATTACAAGCACTTTTATTTTTGCCATAACTAAATTTGGAATTACTACGTTTAAGATTCACTGAAGTGAATGTAATAATTATTTTTTAAATATTACATATTCCTTTTAGAAATTACTTGAGAATACTTTGGAAAATGTCCTGCATGTCATTTAAGCCAACCAAATAATTTCCAAGATACCTAGCATTACACTTAAATTTTAAAAAGGGTAAAAAGCCAACTTTTTTTTTTCAGCTAAGGTCAACTATTTAGCTCTGCAATCTTTCCTTTAAAAAATATTTGTAATAATTTGGTCTCTGATTTATTTCACAAGTCTTAATCTTGCTTTATAAATAATCCTATTTTCAATCACACTTTATTATCTAACATGGCTGTTTATTAATTACATGATCCTATGGTAAAGCACATATTTCTAAAAATGTAACTACTGAGACCTACAGCAGTGTAAAGGCATCTTCACATTATAGTACTCTGTAAATATTACATTGTTACTTTTAACAAAAAGGAACCAGATTATAACAAAATTGTTACAAAATAGCTTAAAAGTGTAATAGAACTTTATTAAAGAAAACATTAAAATGAATGAGTTTTAACTAGACCTATAACAATTTTAAATATGCTAGAGTCAAAATTAATATGAGGTTACATAATTTTTTTTTTTTTTTTTTTTTGAGACAGGATCTCACCTTGTCACCCAGGCTGGGGTGCAAGTGGTGCCAGTGCAACCTCTGTTTCCTGGGCTCAAGCGACCCTCCCACCTCAGCCTCTTGAGGAGCTGGGACCACAGGTGCACGACACTATACTCAGCTAATTTTTTAAAAATGTTTTGTAGAGACAAGGTCTCAGTATATTGCCCAGGCTGGTCTCAAACTCTTGGACTCAAGCAATCCTCTGGCCTTAGCCTCTCAAAGTGCTGAGATTACAAGTGTGAGCCACCACACCTAGCTGAGGTTAAATAATTTTATACTATAAAAAAGCATAAGATCTTGTGAGTTCCAAAGTGCCTTGGGTATCAAGAGCCAACATTCTATTTCAGGGATTTTAACTTAATGCTCCTTTAATATCTTTGCTGGATGTTGTTAGAATAGTATTTCAAACATTTTCTACAATTTGAATTAAATATTACCTTACTAAATAATGAGAGGCTGGGCAAAAAAAAAAATGTTAAGTATATCTCCAAATATAGCACAACAGTTTAATGCTCTGTTTGTGGCCTTAACAAAATATGAAAGTCTGCAACACATTCACAAACCACCTGGAGATTCAAATTCACAATGAACGTGCAATGACATATTGTGCTACTTGACATTAGCTATTACCAAAGACAGTTCAAAAGGAAGAGAACAGAGACAATCTCATTAGTATAATTGGAAATGTGCTGACATATCCACCTGACCAAACATCTTCTCTTGCAGTGTATTATATTACCAGAGAAAGGTAACTTATAATCAGTGCTAATATGCTCCTTAACCTGATTTACAAGGTCAACTAGCTATAAACAGAACAAGGCCCAGGAGCTACCATACAGGTGACTTCAATTCTGTATGTCTGGACTGGATGAGAATACGGGGGCTTACATGTTTGTGGCCTTGTTGGAGTATGGGAATAGGACTGCAGTGAGAATTCTGGTTATAAAAACTCTCCCTTGTAAAATTCACTGTAAATCAAGGACAAAAATCATGAGATTGTTTGTTTTATTATACTTTAAGTTCTAAGGTACATATGCACAACGTGCAAGTTTGTTACATATGTATACCTGACATGTTGGTGCGCTGCACCCATTAACTCGTCATTTACATTAGGTAAAATCATGAGAGTTTTAAGGACAACAACATGGAAAAATCTTTCTGTTAGCAGCTAGTGGAATAATTCATTTAGGAGGAAAATGGGAGAAATTTTTCGTAACTGCTGAGAGTAAAAACTCGGAGAACCTAGGCTTGAGAATAATGTACATCTACTAATTCAGGACTACACACATAAATTACAGAGTTTTTGACATAAAAGTAACATTTGAAGTGATGCAACGCATGAATCAGCTCACTGAGGGATTGAGTATAGACAGAGAATACAGCCACCCCAATGTTAAGAGATCACAACTAAAAAAAATTTTAAAACTCGGAAGGACTGAGAACCAGTAATAAAAGAGGAAAACCAGGAAAGTATGTTGGCTGAGAGCCAAATGAATAAACGATACAAGGAGAGTCATTCAGGTGCATTAATAAATGCTAAAAGTAAAGCATTACATTCCTTTCCAAAAATAGCAAATCCTCAAACTGAAATAGAGAAAAATTGAAAGATATTACTTGGCATTCATTTATCAGTGACAGAGAAAAAACGGAAGTTCTAACAATGTTATCTAATCGAGATGTTTTATTCATTTTCATTACGTATATGCTGTGTATGGTACTCCCGAGCATCATATCTTCCTTTTAATATCCACATGAAACAAGCTTTTAAAGAGCACAGCAATTCTCTTGGCAGCATTAATTTTAAAGAGAACCTCTTAAGTTGTTTTACCAGCTCAGACTGACTGACTAAACAACCAGCGTTCTCCCATTCAGCTGCCAGTCTTTCCTCAGAAATGCCGGTTTGGCATAACTTTAAGACTCAAGATGGTATAAGGCGCATCCTGTTTCTTCCAAAAGAGAATGGGCAAAACTCAACATTCACGGAGGGCTTAGAGAAAATTAGATCCGTATACTGTGACGTCCTGGAAGGGAGAGGCTCACCTCCTACAAAGCAGATGCTCAATAAATATTTTTGATGTAATTCTGGAAGAGCTCCATTTGAGATCTGGAGTGCACCTACTCCAGGGCACCACCCCCTGCAGAATAGTTGCATTCCCACGCCCCTCATACTCCGCTCAGTAAAGGCACCCGCGAACTAGCAGGCATCCGCCCAGTGAATAAAAGCAAAGTGGGACGGCGCACCACCGCAGTCCGGACTCTTAAGGTTAAAAGAAAACCCCTTGCCCTCGGGCCAGGGCTCACCTGCCTCGGGAGGGGGAAGAAGCGCGACTCCCGGCCGCTTCGGAGTAGGCGTCCCGGCAAAACTCTCGCCTCATCACCAGACACTACCCGGGCAGAAGGTTCCTGGACTAGGTCCTTGGACCCGAGAGGGAGGGACAACCTCACTTGGTCTCTTGGGTCTCCAGGCCGCCGCCGCCGCCACCACAGTTCCCTCAGGTGTTACAAAGAGTCCGGGGTGTGCGCGCGCTCCCGCATCGTCGCTTAGCAACCTGAGAAGCTGTCCGGTCGTCCCAACTCATCAATTCCCCCGCCCTTCCAGAGTGTGAATCGTTTTTTAAATGATTTTGTTTCCGGGTCGAGCCAGCTTTACGCAGCGGAAGGTCTCTTTACCTCCCACGTTTACCCTCACGGGAGGACGAAGTCTCAGTCACGCGCGTGGGGGGTGATGTCGCTAAGGGGTCATTCTCTCCTCCCTAGAGTTACAAACAAAATCTCTCCCGCCAATTGCCGGGCGCCATCAGGCAGGTCCTTTCCTCCTGACCCCAAATCATCCGCCTGTCGTCGTCCTCCAATCACAGCGGCTCATCCTCCGGGACTACTTTGCAATCGGAGCAGAGCGCAGTGAGAAGGCAGTGAGAAGAACCCCTCGGATCGGGAAGTGTAGTTCAACACTTGAAGGAAACACTTTGGAGATTGCGCCAGAAGCAGGGCAGCGTAAACTACAGTTCCCAGAGAGCGCCGCGTCGGGAGCGGAGCGTTTTCTCGCTAACACCGCTCGCCCTCTCCGAGTCAGTTCCGCGGTAGAGGTGACCTGACTCTCTGAGGCTCATTTTGCAGTTGTTGAAATTGTCCCCGCAGTTTTCAGCCATGGTGAGTGTGGGCCCCGGGTTCCTGCCCACCTCTGGCCCTCGCGCCCTTTTGTGGGGTTTCTTGCACTTTAGGGACTTTTGGGAGGCAGCTGTGCAAGGCGCCGTCCTTCGCGCCCTTTGACAAGCTCGGACTCATCTTCTTGGGATTGTCGCAGTGACCCAGTAATTGGGAAGGGATTGATTTCCACCTTGCGGGGCATAGGGCGCTCTTAGGAGGACTCTGGGGAAGTAGTTGTCCTGGGAGAGGCGCGATCTTAATCCTGCTGCATGGCGGGAGGACAGAATACGACGCTGCAGCTATTTTCCAAAGGATGTTACGGGGTTTGTTTGATAAGGACAATAAGGTTTGCGATGGGAGGGAAAGGTTGCGTGCTAACCCCTTTTTCTCCTCATTAGCCCACAGTGTTTATAAGACTGGGCCCTTGAAAGCTAAAAGCTGGAAAGGTAGTATTTACCTGGTGGTCCAGATTACGATCTGCGTTTGCAGGAAACGGGTTTCCGCCATGTCTGATTTCTCAAAATGTTATTTGGAACCCGTTCATTGACCTGTTTTGTAATGCCAGGACATGTTGAAGTGACGGCATCACTAGCCAATAACTACTGCGGATAGTCTTTGTTGAACTGTATGTAATGAATTCCAGAAGCACCTCTCTTAAATGTAACAGAGTAACCATTTTGTCATGGAAGACCTGGATAACCTAGATCTCCATCGCTTGTCTCTGCAGAAAGTAGGGGGTGGGGGGTTGGTGAAGGAACTCTGACGTAGGAATATTCTGCGTACTGCTTGAAGGTGACATTTGTCATCAAACTCAAAGAAATCGCTTCCTACTATCAATACAATTTCTTGTATTTATAGTTGCGACTGTTTTTCCTACTTTGTGTCCAAAATACTAAAATGGCTGGAGAATGTGGAGAAATGTTTGAATAAATTGGAAATTTCCCAGAACCTGAAAAGACAACGTTTTCAAGGCAAGGGCATTACTCTCTCTGCCTGTGTAACGGGGCCAGTGGAGACAGCTACTAATTTCCAATAGGTGTTAAACCTAAGTTTCCTATATATTTTGTCACATAATTAGTCATTTAAATTATGGTTTCAGTGATTTCTGTCCTAATAATCTTAGCTAGAAAGCAGAGGTACTTATTATGTGAGAACCTTGGACTTTTTGCTTTTCGAACTGAATGGGATCTTTTAAAGGTCACCTTGACGAATCTCCCCACCTCACATCTTAAAATTGAGTTTATCGAGACCCAGAGAGAATGTGATTTGTCCCAAGAGTCTCACACTCTTGCCATTTTTCTATATTGTGTCTTACACTTATCAAGCCTTTCTGAATTTTTATTTTTATAGGGACCACCGCAGTGAGGTCTTGCAGCGGGGGAGAGACGGTGTACTCAACTCCCTGAAAACTTAATTTTTACTAACTGAGATTCTGGATGAAGTTACCAGTTCATACTGCATATACAAACTCAACTATGTTATCAGCATATAGATTACTTGATAGCTTTATTCCTTGCAATTCAAAATATTGGAATTCTAGAATTCAAAGGGGATTTGGAGAATATATTATCGACTCTTATAATGTAGTCTGGGGAGGTCAGATAATTTTCTTAAGGTCCCAGAGAGATTTTGGGCCCCAGATTCTTAGCTGGTTTTCCCTAGTAAGGCCCCACCGCTGGAAGGTCACTGGGGTGCCAGATAACACAGAGACAGAACATAAAGAAGAATTTGTCTGGCAGTTTGCTGGAACTGACAGCAAACTCACACATGACTCAATTTCCCTGCCCCCCTCAGGGGAGTGTGTGAATGGACAGAGTTAGAAAAGAGCCTTCTTTTGTAAGCTCATTCAAAGGGGAGGATTCTTTGCTTGTTGTCTATAGGGAGTGACACTAAATAAACTGTATGAAGGAATCTAAATGGTACCGCTTAGTTTTTTGTGTTATAGGAATGCATGTAATTTAGAAATATATATAAATTTGAAAGTGAAAAAGGAATATGTGGATCTGTCTGTGGAATAACAGAGATACTTAAATTCAATCTTTACAGCTGAGAAGTTAGCACAGAGCCTGCATCTGCAGGAAAGTCATTGGTGCCCTGCTAAGAGCAAAGACATTCCTTCTTTGGATCTTGGCAGACTGCCCAGATATCTGAGCAAAGAATAGTAACCTATGTTCACACTTTAACATTGTGAAAGTCAGCAGGACTCTCCCACCCTCCTGCTTTTCAACTGCAATGTTGCAGAGGAGCAGAAAGAACCATACGTGGAGTTTTTTTTCTCTGTTTCATCTTCAAACATTCAAACACTAACTAAGCCTCAGACTGCCATTAATAAGATGGAATTACCTACCTGTGAAAGTAATTTCTCCAGAAATACAGAAGAAAACTGCTGAGGTGGAATTAACTGTTCATTAGGTGGCCACAACCCCTTCATTAAGGACTGTGATACTGTGAACATGTTTTTAAGTAGCTACTAAAATTGACTGCATTTTTCTAACCATATAGATGACCTTATGGGAGGTTAAACTTTACAGATAGTGATCTTCCATCTCTCCAGCCCCCCTTTTCTTATCCTGCTTTGCTGTACATTGAAGTAGTATGTGTTCGTACTTTATACCCTAACCTTCCTTCATTCAACAAATACTGGTTGAACACTATATGGAAATGCAAATCCGTATCAAAGGCAGACTGTTCTTAAGGGGGCTTCATGGTCTAATACAGAGCAACAGAAATGCAAATAGAAAACCACAGGCTATTAGAGTCTTTAGAGGAAAATTCTGTGATGATAATTGTAAATACTTAAAACTACTCTGTTCGTTAGGTAATTGCTATTATTATCTCCATTTTACTATGGGGAAATAATGCAGAGAGGTTAAGTAACTTGTCCTAGAGCACGCAGTTAATGAGTTGTGGAGCCAGGACTTGAACCTAGAAAGTCTGGCTCCAGAGTCCATCTCTTTAATTACTACTCTCTACTGCCTCTGTAGCCCCCTGTTTTAGAAAATTGGTGTATCCTTTTGTTTCCTTCACGTAATTCACCAATGGATTCCCTGGCCTAAAATAGTACCAACTACATGATAGGAACTTAATGCTGTTTTGTTTAATGAATGAATTAAATGAGACAACAGCTCATCAGTGGATTTATAAGGTAATATCATTAGTACTAATGACATAAATAATTTTGTTAACTGTAGTTGAAACTATTGTGGTCACTGAGTTTCTAGCCTTCTCAATACATACTATATATGAATAAAATACCTTTTGTTTTCATGGTACATATGAATGAGTTTTTGTTTGAGTCAGGATCTCACTCTGTCACCAAGGCTGAAGTGCACTGACACAGTAATGGCTCACTGTAGCCTTAACTTCCAAGGCTCAAGTGATTCTCCTGCCTCAGCCTCCTGAGTGGCTGGAACTACAGCATGTGCCACCATACCCAGATAAATTGTTTTTTTAAGAGACAAGGTCTCACCGTTTTGCCCAAGCTGGTCTCGAACTCCTGGGCTCAAGTGATCCAGTCACCCCGGCCCCCGGCGCAGTGTGCCGGGATCATAGGCGTGAGCCACTGCACTCAGCCTGAGATATCTTAAATAAATAAAATACCTTTTAAAAAATGTTAAAGCATACTACATATGTTCCCAAACAGTTCTTTTACATTTCCATCTTTTTGGTACTTTTATAGGCTCCAGCTATTCCTTCAAGCAAATTATCAGAGTTCCAACTACAGGCCAGGTGTTTTTCTAGGCAATTGAGATACAGCAGTAAATAAAATAGACAAAGTCCATGTTCTTAAGGATCTTGCATTCTAAAGGAAAAGGGAGTAATAATTTCTTCCTGTATTCCCTTTTCCTCACCTACTCTACTTGACTTCAAGGAAAGAAGGGAAAATGACAGAATGAAACATGTGTAGGCCATTAAAGATTTTTCTATAAATAGCAATAAATTGGAAAACAAATATTGTATAGTATATAGCTGGCTATGATCAAATTCATTTCTCTACACCAGTTGACATTTATTTATTTATTTATTTTTTAATTTTTTTTGAGATGGAGTTTCGCTCTTGTTGCCCAGGCTGGAATGTAATGGCACTATCTTGGCTCACTGCAACCTCTGCCTCCCGGGTTCAAGCCATTCACCTGCCTCAGCCTTCCAAAGAGCTGGGAGGCGGCCTGCCACCACACCCAGCTAATTTGTATTTTTAGTAGAGACGGAGTTTCTCCATGTTGATCAGGCTGGTCTCAAACTCCCAACCTCAGGTAATCCGCCTGCCTCGGCCTCCCAGAGTGCTGGGATTACAGGCATGAGCCACCATGCCTGGCCTGACACTTCTTTTTTGAATTTTTTTTTTTCTTTGACTTCTGTGAGTGAGTACCAAATTGCTGAGTTCTGCTGACCTCAGAGCTTAGAGTTAGAAGCTTAAAAGAAGCCTTCGAGGCTATCCATCCTTGTTTCATCTGGAGGAAGGATCTTAAAAAGAAACCAAATACTTCTAGGCTCAGTCACATCAGTGGACCATTTCTCCATGCCGGTAGGGGTAAAGGTGACAGTGAAAGTACATTTACCCAGCATTGTCGGGGAAAGGAATGGTTCACCATAATTGAATTTTTCTGTCTAATTAAACTTACCCATTATGTTTCTAAACATTGTTTTGTTCTTAATAGAAATATTTCTTTTTTAAAATTCTGTCAGCTTAGTCTTTTTTTACTCAGAGTCATCACCTTGAATATCAGTTATCTTTGTTTCTATGTCTGTAGTTTGTTCAGGATCTGTTGAAATTTCTGTTTGTATGTCTTCCCTCCTTGCTTTTAAAAATAATTTTCCCTTGGAATCAGGTTGTCAGCTGTCTGTCACTACATGTTACTGTTGTTTCTCCTGAAATAAAAAATCTTGTTTTTCCTCCTCCAGACAATAAAGTTGAATAGCAATTAATTGTCCCCATCTTTTTGGTACTTTTATAGGCTCCAGCTATTCCTTCAAGCAAATATCAGAGTTCCAACTACAGGCCAGGTGTTTTTCTAGGCAATTGAGAT